TATATATATATATATATAACACACTGTGCTACAATCTTTGTAGATCTGTCCAAGGCTTTTGATACTGTTGAACACAACATGTTGTTGCTTTCTGTGGGTTTTGATGATTCTGCCTTCAGCTGGTTCAAATCATACCTCTCAGGTTCAATCTGTTGTTCCCGATGGTTTCAAATCAAATCCCCAAATGGTTGATAAAGCTGTCCCTCAAGGATCAATACTATGCCCACTGCTATTTACTCTGCTTTTTGCAAGTGCGTGAACCATTGACATTCCAAATCGTGCTCTAAATGGACATCTATCTGATGCAGTGAAGCATTATGATTGTACATTGCAGTGAATGAACTCATGTTGAATATGTTGCTCAAAAGTAAAAAAAAAAAAAAAACAATACCCACTGCTGCCACTAAATGCTATCTACCACGTTGCCATTCATTCATTACACAAGATCACACACACACACACTCACACACACACAGGAGGCATCAGAATACCTGCGTCTTCATTTATAAGGCTTTGCTATCAATGCTGCCGAGATATTTAAACATCATTAGTTCAGAGCTGATAACGGTTACATCAGATCACAGGATAGAGTGCCTTTAAAAGTTTCTCATACCAACTGTTGATCTTGTGTGTAATTTGTTCTCAGGTCTCTCTCGCAAAAGATCTTGTTCTTTACATTTCTTGAATAAATGTAGCGTTAATTAATGAATTAATTCATATTTATGAGCCATGAGCTGACTGTTTGCACACTACTTTATTAATTAAAGTTTAATATCACCCTGCTTTGTCTGGACAGGTGATTCTTCACAAGCCAACAGAAAACCGCCAAAACCTGAATAACCGTTAACATCCCTACATGTTTCCTGAATAGACTGTGCATGCGTTTGTGTGTGTTCTCACATAAGCTCTGGCCTCTGGCGGTGTATGAGAGCGCAGAGGGCCAGGCCATTCCTCCAGGAAGATGTGAGGTTGGTGACATCGACCCCTCTGTAGCCCTGAGTCTGCTTCTGACACCAGGTCAGCAGCCGGCCAGGACGCACGTCAGACTCTATGGGAGAGAAATAAAGCATCAGTAACAGTATCACTGAGGTCCTGTCAAGCTGGTGTACAGGGAGTCATGTGACATACAGTATAGCATCGATAATATGACACAAAAAACCTTTCTATTTCGGAATTTCCCCATTGTGGGACAAATAAAGGAATATCTTATCTTATTTGAAAACCAGTGAGTTTTTGGCTTCAAAAGTCATATTGTGTTATATTTTCTATTGGATTTTTTCCTTTCAATATTTATGTTTCTTGACTTTACAGTACTTGCTTTTTGTGTTCTTTATTTTCTTTTACAATGTTTATTGTTATGCACTAAAATACCAAGGCAAACCAAACCTACTTGGCAATAAACCTGATTCTGATTCACTTGAGCCTTGTGACTTGAAAGACTGGAATCTCCTCCCAAGCCGAAAGCAACTTAATAACTCTGACAGCAAATACATAGCCAGAGCAGACATTCAGGACTGTGGACAAACTGGCCCACTTAAAAGATCTGGAGCACTCGCTTTGATGTGTTTTAAATTGCATAACTGTAACTTCATGGCAGGATTTCTTCTATATTTCAATGCTGAACTGCAGAGTGAAATGAAAGCCTGCATTCATAACTGTCTATTTAAAGACATGTTGTTACACAGAAGATAAAATGTTGATTTTATGTCACTGTGGAGGCTCTGGTTTGCAGTGTTATTTTGAGGGCTGTTTCTCATATTCAATCGACCTCATAGATATAAATGGATGGACAAATATTAGTATATTGCAGAACAGTAAACAGCACCACACAAATATAATATAAAGTTGAATCAACACCTCTATAAAACCATTTCTAACAAAAAACTAAACATTGTAAAATAGATGAAGGGAGGATTTAGCAGAGGACTGTATATTATTTTGACCACATAAGTGTACCAAATAAACTGTAAATGAAAAAGAAACTGACAATTTAGGCCTTGAAACCCAAAGAAGGGATTTTATTGAGTGTCAGTCCTTAAAGCTGCACCAACACATATATCAACAATGGGTTTAATTACCAAGTGTAATGTGAAAACAGGTCACTCAGTGACAAACTCATTATGTCACGGTTGTGTTTACAGCTTGTTCTGCTGCCCCCAAAAGGCCAAACAAATCTGTTAATACAGCTTTAACTTGTGACTAAACAGTGACAGTGACCATCATAGGGAAGACAACTATATCAGCTCCATAACCCTGCCAGTGCAGAGTAGAGCAGGTCAGCACACGTCGGTGAGAGGCATCATGTCTGACCCTCATGTGGGTGTAATGGTATCCAGCTGTATTGTCTGTTACGAGGTGTGTCAGCCTGTGACTGAGATGAGGCTTAAGTTTCTCCTCAGTATGGGCTGGGGAAGCTTTTACTATGATGTCAACCTTTTTTTTCCTCCAGTAAACTATATTCACTCTCTTTGTGAAATGCTACATTGCAGTGTCACACAATTTTATAAACAGTAGCTCAGCATCTTAATGTATCTTACAACAAAGGTATCCAGGAAAGCTTTCATGCAGTGTTAATGGGGTTGTGGATGCATCTAATCTCAATGGTGACTCACAGGATGATCAGATTACCATTAGAACATGACAGGGAGCTTTGAAAGTAGACTGCAGTCCCATCTGAGCAGTTGGCAGCAATCCTCACTGTCACTACTTTGTCCAGAGATATTTGATGCTTCTGTAGTTGTTTTTTTTTTATTATAGCTGCATGAACACTGTGGTTCTAAACACAAAGATACATCACACTATCCCAGTTTCAGTCAGGGATAGTGTCAAATCAGTTTATACATGAATAAGATTTATTCTTTTTTTACTCTGTCAAAAAATGTCTTAACATTGACGTAAATTAATACAGTGTGACAAGCCAGCATGCAACTAGTCACTGACTCACTGCCTGATGGCTCATTTTCTAAATCTTACAGACTCAGACATGTCTCTGATGTGTCAGTATAGTCCACTAAACTCAATGAGCAACGTTCCAGCAAGCTCCAGTACCATGCTAACCTGACTGTGCCAGATGGTTTGTTACACAGAACCATCCACAAAGTCGTCATTGGAAACTGCAGGCACAAAATACTCAGCAGGTGATTGCATGAATCATCTGCCTGTCATCGTCTGTCACGGGTGAACTTAAACCAATCAGAACAAACCGTATAACATAGTCAACGTTAGTACTACGTCATCCCTGACATCTTTTTCTTCCTCATCAATCATTATATTCTCAATATTTTCACGGACATTGACACTGAGTCTTTAAGTCAACCATTAGGCTGAAACCATCACTTTGTGTTCGGGGGTTAGGAGAAAGAGAAAAATCTGCATCTTACCTCTTCTGGACAAGTTAACTGATCGTGTGGGTTCTCCTCTTCCCAGGAGACACGAGCCCTGCTGGCCATCAATGAACAGGTGGCGCACCTGAAAGAAAGACAAAGAAAGAAATACAGAAAGACAGAAAGTGAGAAAGACAGAAAGAAAGACAGAAAATTTATGGTTGAGTTTATTTGAGATATTTACTTTAAAAACATTCAACATTTCAACATGCACAATGATGGTAAAATTGTCAATAAAACAAACCAAAAAATATCCCTGTCACTGAGCAGATTAAAATGTCTTTCCCTTAGAAAGCACTTTGTAACTTTATTAAGGAAACTGGTATATAAATAAAATGTATTTTTATTCTACAAGTGTTGGACTGACCTGGTGTGGGCGTACACAGCTGGAGTTGAGGTTGGGGTAGCGGGTGGCAGGGTCAATGGCGTACTGTTCAAAGTTCTTACTGATGTTCTCTGTGGTGGTCTGAGGCAGCAGCCGGTAGAGACTCTCCCTGAGGAACAGCAGGGCAGATATAACTTGCAGATACAAAGATACTGAAGCTTCTAAGGTCTGAAAGCTGCGCTGCAATCACGTGATCTGTCTAAAGCCAGAAAACACTGAAGAAAGCTGAAAGCACAAAACAATGTTTCAAAACTATACATAAAATAAAGACCTTTAACATGAAATATAGCACATAATTTAATGTGCATTTAAACTGACCAGACGTGTTTATTTGAACTCATGACTTTTGCTTGCTGAAGTTTATTGCATAACATTTTGGAGGATCGATTAGCAGAAATGGAATATAATATTTATAGGGTATGTTTTCATCAGTGTACAAGCACCTCAATATAAGAACTGTTGTGTTTTTGTTACCTTTGAATGAGCCGTTTTTATCTACAGAGGGAGCGGGTCCTCTTCTATGGAGGAAGCCATCTTGAACTGCCATGTTTATATAGCAGCACAGGACTGACAAACCAAACACTGACACTAGATAGGACTGTTGGCGTTGTTGTTTCTCACGTTTTTGGGCAACCATAGCTTCTCCTTTCATGCTTAGAAGGGGAGGAAGAAGCAAAGAAGTTGCGATCTGCAACTACACTGCAAGATGCTACTAAATCCTACACACTGGACCTTTAAAGCCTTACCAGTAGAGTAAAAACTAAACTTTCATTTACCTCAATTGTAGTTTTAGTCTTTAGGAAAACATGAATGTGCCCATCTGTCCATTAGATTAGATTGTCTGCACGGAAAAGTTGAATTTTGCATGTGTAAAAATGGTGCTAGGACAAAGCTCAGGTTTCCAAAATAGAGGAGGCCCATCCTCTGTGGAGCATGAATCTGCTCTGCAAATTGAATGGCAGTCAGCTCATTTGATAGTTGATATTTGATCATTATATTTATTGTGCACAAGTTGTAATTTTGACCTGAAAATGGGCCAAGAATAAATGGCCAGAGGGTCACCGTAAACCTCTTTCATCCCTTGGGGAACATGTATATACATACATATCCAGTTATCTGGATTTGGACCAAAGTGTTGTACAGACAAAACGACAAACTGTCCTCCTATCTGGATCTGGTTTTCATCTGTACTCAATCCAGGGAAAATAACGCAGCGCAGACAAGTCTATCCGGCTCATCTTAAATTACAGGAAGTGGAACATACACCCACACACCTCTCAGCCAGTATCTCCAGAGGGCTCCTGCCCTGTGCCCAGCCCCTCACCATCCAAGCAGTGTCGAAGGCTGCCAGCCAACCTCGAGCACAGCCTGTACCCATCGGCCAGAAGGGCTGTAAACAAGAACATGATGTCAGTGTGAACACGCATAAGCTGAGCCTCGGTCAGGGTGGTAGTCAGAGTACAAACAACGTCCGCTGTCACTGCTACCTCGTACCTCAAGCAGACTGTCTCCCACCAGTGCGACCACTAGCTGATGTCCGTGCTTCTCCCTGATCAAGGCGGCGTTCTCTGAGGCGTACATGCTGGTGAAGTCAAACATGGCTACATCCGGCTGCCCGTAGTGGTTGATGGCGTAGTCCAGGGATGGCAGCTGGTAGTTTGTGCCAAAGTCGGCTGCCTCACGGGCATAGGAGAGCAGCGCTTCCTGGTTGACGTTGTCAATGCTCAGCAGTCGCTCTGTTTCTATGTAGTCCTGTACAGGGACGAGGAGAGGAATGTTTATGGCAAAGATAAGTGCATAAACTAAATTTAAATTTCAAGTGGCACTAATCAATATGCTCATATAAACAATGGATCAGTGTGACATTAAAGGAGGTCACCACAGAGAATTATCACCTTTTGATTGGAACAATCTTAGATAGATTGAGGCGCGACAGTCTAAACATGTTGCCCCCCTCATGAAGGATGCCAACTCCCCTTGAGTCACTCAGGAAATAACTTATCAAATAACATTTCCTGAGAGCCGGCATGGTGGGGTGAACAAAGACGAAGATTGAGACTGATTCAGAAACAAGATTCACATTGCTCAAGAAATGAACTGAAAAACATATTCAGGCTGCTGTGTTTCACTGCAAGAGGATCATGATGACAAAACCAAGTTTGTGAGTTTGTCTAATCAGTGAGCTATTATGAGTGATGAGGCTGTCACACAGTTGACGCAGTGAGATATCACTCTGCACTAATGGGCAATGTAAGAAGAGACGGAGACCACTGAGGGCACAGCGAGGCAGGGTTTCAAAACCTGTGTGTGTGTTTGTGTTTGTCCCTGCATCTTAAGTATACTGTATATAGAGGGCTCCTGCATATGTGTGCATATTTCAGACAAATGCTGTGGTAGGCACTGGGTGGGACGGTTAACAGCAGTCTCGATGCCATAATAATATCATCATTTAAACTCTCTAATCTCTGCAGATAGAGACCGACTGAGAAAAAATCCTCTGACTCATAATGTCTGTGTGTGTGGGTGTGTGTGTGTTTGTGAGTGTGTGTGGGGGGGACATAGAAGAAAGGTGAGAGAGAGCAAGCAGCATCTAATTAGAGCCCTGTTTCATTATCATCCACTATGGAGCCCCATCACTCACTAGTAGCCAAAGCTAGCTGCTCACTGCTCTGGTGAACACACAGACACACACACAATACACAACAACAGACACCACAGACAGACACACACACAGACCACACACAGACAAGACACACAGACACAGACACACACTCCTGTCTTCCCAAAAAAGACTTTGACTTGTTGATTTTAAATACTGCAACCCATGTGTGTGTTTCATTGTTAATTATAAACAAGGAAAACTATAAAGAAACATATTAGTTGATAACCATGACACATCCAGTCGACCAATCAGCAGCCAGACAACCTATATAAAAAGGTTTTGAAATTAGAGGTAGCTTTAGATGCATATTGATGAGATGATATCGGCTTGAAAAATAACAGTAACTACTGATAAAGCTGGTTAGAGTCCGTTTAGCTAGGCTTCATGTTTTATTTCCTGTCTTAACTTGTATATTTGTAAATAGTTACACAATGACATTGTGGATACTCAAATTAAGTATGTGACATCATCTAGCGTCATCTTGAGACTTTTCAAGCAGGCTTTAGATATTCTCCATGGAAAATAGTTGGCAACACTGGCTACATATTGTATTTTATTAATGTTATGCCTCTGCCAGCTTTATTGGTCCTTAAAAAGGAAAAGAGGAACAGATTTATGGATTAAATACGTTTGCAGTTCTGATGAAAATTGGCCAAAAGCAGAAACAAAGTAGCTGGCACACAGCATGAAAATAGGAAGGCCATCACACAAACCTTTAAGTTAATGTAACATTATCAATGGCTAACGTTAACATTGGTTTCAACTTGCCACAAGTGATGAAACACAAGTTATGGTTGGGGCCGAAGACTTCAAGTTTAAAAGCGAAAAGGTTCAGGAGCAGTGGAGTGAGAAAGTTTTCTTGCTTTGGACATTGTTAGCTGTCAAGTTGCATTGTGGGTAATTTTGACAAGGAAGAAAAATGTGTGAGGTATCGCTGGCGCCTTTTGTTTTTTAACTGTCCATTGTGAGTCAGAATGTTAAAACACCTGTAACCATGCTAACTACACACAACAAAGACAGTGTTAGCTGTAGCATCAGCGTGCTAAGAAGACATATGAATTGAAAATGCTAAAGACTAAAGCTTAGTCAAAACTCACATTTATAATGACCCCTTTGTCCAGCAGACTCAGCTTCTTCGCCGTCATGACAAAGTAGTGTGTGTTGTCTTTGTAGTAAACTATGTTCTCCAAGTCAATTCCTGGAAACACAAGCAAGTTTTTTTAAATGGAGGTTTTATTTTATGGGTTGCTGGTGCCACATTTCTTTTTAACTCACCTGTCTCCTCCTTGAGTTCCAGAAAGAACTTCTGGTTAAAGATGAAGGCCACGCCACTGATCTCCTCCACTTTGGCCTCTGCTGTGGTGTTCCTGTTGACGAAGTTAGCCGTGATGGCGATGGCCAACTTCCCTCGAAACTCTTTGCGACTGAAACCTGCCGAGAGAGGAACAAAAACCTTAACAATGAACCATGCAAAGGAAAACATAAAGAACAATATTAGAAAAGTAGTTATCCCTCATAGATACAGCAGGTCTACACATAAGGGATTTTCCCAGCAGCCATGGAAACACTCATGCTTCCATTTACAGAGGAGAATGTTTACCATTTCTGTAATCAGTTACTTTACGTTTATGTTAGCAAACATATAATGCATATAACACACACACACACACAC